CTACTATAGATCACCTCCCCAGGACTTTCTTGATCACCGAAGCTTTAAGAGAGGCCAGGTGGAGATGGGGGACGTTTGAAGAGAAGGGGTTACACTAATACCCTGCCTTAGTTACCAAACCCATGACGGGGTTGTCAGTAAGGCATTCCCAGCGTGTGACTGGTGACACTTGAGGCCAAACTTTCCAGTAGTGACAATGCACTCCCAATAATTGGTCTGAACATTAAAAACGAGCTGCGCTCACCTCCCACGTACTCAACTATAGGTTTACACACTACACAAACTCCACATATTCCTCACTCCGAAAGTAAACATAACTGAGTTCAGAGAAGGGTAGTCGTCTCACTAACCACGTCTATAGTACAACACAATCTCGCCTTCAAATACGCATGCAAACTTAAACGTTTCCCAGTGTTGCTCAATCAACGAACTGCCAGACTTGCCCCAGACTTTTTTTTTTAATTTCCTCATCAGTATTTAAATATGTGTATAAAGGTTTGTGTAATACATCCTAAATTTTATGTTTATAAGTAACAATGGCAACCGCGTAAAAAATAACGTAGTAAAACGAGGCTTTGTGGTAGAATGACTAAAGTAAAAGTAGATGAAGAAAGGCAGGGCGGGGTGAGCGCACTGAATATTCCTGGGGTGTGGACACGCCATCCACTCCGTACATCAAAGGCTGACTAGGATATCTAAGAGGACTCCAAAGGAGACTAAAAATAATTAAGCGAGGGGTTCCTTAAAAGTTAACCGTATTATTGATAAACCACCTGCCTCGGAACACAGTTTCCCACGCTGTTGTTGTTTATGGTTGATGTGAACTTCCTGCATGAAAAACATGGAGGAATTAAAAATAAAAAACAACCTGCAGTTAGAAGGCCAGTTTCTTGGGACTAATCCCGGAGGGTTTAATAACCCCAAGAAAGTCGAGCTTTGCAGATATGCTGCAATCCTTCCGGGTTTCCCCCCCACATTTCTATGGAGAGACCCAGAACTATGGATTAATCCCCAAGTATCTATTTACTGCTAGGTGAACAGGGGCAGCATGTGTAAGGAGACTTACATGCGCATCTTTGCTCACCTGGAATCGAACCTGGGGTTTCCTGGCGAGGGAGCTAAACCTGGAAGCTTTAGCTACCGTACTCAATTCAATGAATGTTCTATATCTGCCTTAATACTGTTCAAGCAAGATGGTGTGATGGAGACATGGAGAAATAACACAATAACAGGAGCAGCAGCAACTGCCTATGTGGGAGAAACAAAGGGTGCATTTGCACCCTTGAACATTGGAACAGCCTTCAGGAAGCTCAGCACAAAAGTCGTTAGTGCTACTCAAACATACCGTACAGCGCCAACAGCCTGGTGGCTATCAACCAGCGCCAACAGCCTGGTGGCTATCAACCTGGTGACCGGTTCCTCTACAGGGCCACAGGGGCGATGACCCACGGACTCAACAAATGAACAATAGGTAAACAAGTTGATGCCAATATTGGGGTATACATCGTCACTGTTTCCACACCACAAGTAATGGTGCAAAGATCGATCATAAATTACGAGAACAACGAGACAGGTAAAAGAACATAAGAAAGGAGGAACACTGCAGCAGGCCTGTTGGCCCATACTAGGCAGGTCCTTTAAATACTAGGCAGGTCCTTTGCATACTAGACTGATATGTCACAGGGATGTTAGGGAGTACATTTTAGGTTCACTCTGGTATGCAAGTGGATCGAGTTGGATAAGGGAACAATAAAGTACATTTAATACAAAGTTTCAAGCATGGGTATGATTTGGTCAAAAGCCAGTCATGAATAGTGGTACGAGTTGTTTCACCCTCACAAACAGATTTCTTAACTATATTATCACAAGATGGTCCATATATTTATCCAGAAATTTTTATATGAACTTCTAGGCTAAAACAGAACACCAATAACTAAACCTTACGATATTGGAGGAACAAATAAACAAAAAGGAAACATGGTTACAACGTTCAAGATATTTCAGGCGAACCCGAACTTAACGTCACACTGATTGGCTTCCATAGTTTATTACCGTTCGGGGTTAATAATCAGGAGACATTCATTCTTTTTCCTTCTAAGAGGTCTCGACAAATTGAACACATCCTGGAAGGAGTAGCTATACTTATGACAAGTGTTGGGGAGGATGGAAGGTAGAGAAAAAAGTGAACCGGAGATGCAATTAGCAACTTTAGTGCGATGATGGCCAAGTAGAAGGCTTTTTGACTGATTAGCTCTGTAAGTTAAATATTAACCACGACTACTTTGAACCAACAAGGATCATATCTCTGCGAGGCCCTCGCATAGTCTACCACTGAGTCACTTCTACGACTCCTTAAACACAATGAGGTCTATATTTACTGCTAAGGAGAGAGGCATTAGATGCAAGGAAACTTGCCCACGCAACTCACCCTGACCTGAAACGAACCTGAACTACGAAATGGAATGCACTAGAAATAGGAAGTAAACTACATACGAGCTATCATGCAAATATGACAAGAGACTTCAGAACCCGAACCCAACAACTACAATTACATCCCAACTAATATATGAACGCACACATGCTGGAAAGTAAACCACCCTGGGTTCGATTCCCAGCCAGAGTAGAAACATTGGACGTGTTTCTTTCCACCTGTTGTCTATGTTCCCCATCAGTAAAATGGGTACCTGGGTGTTAGTCGACTGGTGTGGGTCGCATCCTGGGACACTGACCTAAGGAGGCCTGGTCACAGACCGGGCCGCGGGGGCGTTGACCCCCGGAACTCTCTCCAGGTAAACTCCAGGTAAACCCTCATCAAATTCTACTGCCCCCAACCATCGACTCGCCCGAAACACTGCTAAACTTCAATTTTTAACCAAAACTAGAATGTATCGATCTTATCCCAAGCAAACTAGAGGCCATGAGTGTGGAGGATACATAAATAACATTGACATCTGCTCAGCTAATCACTAGGAACTCCCCTCTCTCTATCCCCCCTCACTCCCTACATCCTCCCCTCCCCCCACCTAGGTTACTGCTCAACAATCATTTATGTTTTTTTTTTAAGTTCTTTATAGGCATCATTTGCAGGTTTCTTCCTCAACCGCAGAAGCTTGAGAATTATTATAACGATGAGAAGTATTAAATCCGCAAACGTTATACAGTGCCTGGAGAAGTTGATGTAATCAATTAAATCAACGGAGAGGAAGGGTAGCTCAAATTCCTTGGTTCAAAAACCCTGCACCAGCACCAGGGTTTATCTTGTGTACTCCTCCACACGTTATGTTTGGACATGGGGCCCACTTGGCGAGTCTTATAATTACACATAAGGCTGTCTAAATGATCACGAGGTCAAAAAAGAAATAAGGCTGATAGCAAGGTAATAAGTATTTATTACATTATGTATGGCTCATTATATAATGGGCTATCTTCGGTCTCTAAGAAGTAACACACGTACGATCTACCACCAGTGGAGGACGTAAGGTCTAGAGTGTAGACACTTAATAATCCAGGATAGCCCGAATTTCTTTGCTGGCGTTTGGATTCTTCCTCAGGATACATCCCACAATAGTCGATTAAAACCCTGGTACCTATTAACTCCTCGAATGAGGACAACACATGCAAGACTTGCCCATATGTTCGCAACTCGTGGAAGGATAGAACCTAGATCATTTCGATTGAGCCGGACGCTTTACCTCTCGGCATCCGGACATAACAGTCCATAATTACTTGCTCCAAACTGTGTATGTACTAGTAATGTGAAGGAATTTGTGATAGTTATATAAAATAAAGAGTATAAATAAAGACAGAAGATATCTCAAGGCTGCTTGGGATGTTGAAAAGCTATAAACACCCTCGCTATGTTGTCCGGCCTGATATCTGTTCACACTGCTGACCCACGTCATAAGTTGTGCTAAACCAACATAGATGATGCACTGATGCAACCTACACTATATTATATACAAAAATGTAAAACAGTTGTAATAATGTGTGTTTAGCGTGCACAAAGGTTTCCTGTGGTGTAGTATGTTTACGGAAGAGCATCAGATTCAGGTGATGGCAACTCAATTACAACATAGGAGTTACTAGTCAACCTTAACAATGTTGTGCTGCATACCACAATCTGTAGTTTCGACCTTAGTATTGGTTCATACACTATCCCAGATGACTGTAATACATTTTACAAATACCTCAGGATTATATTATATATTCCCAGGTGTTGTGCCTCTGCTAGACTAAACAGATTGTAATAGAATGTCTTCTCCCTTTATCAGTCGACACAACTTTGGATGTCACCAAGCAGACAAAAGCGATGAACGGACAACTTTGGAGCCTGGTCCAACAAAATGGCCTGACTGCATCATACTGAAACCCCCACACTAAAATTTTGCAGCACAAAAACTTAGCAAAATTATCAAATAACGTAGTTTGGAATAGATGATATTAACTAACTCGGTACTCAACCTTCAAGTCTTCTGTGAGCATACATATAGTAGTCGTATAAAATCTACGGCTTCTGCTCGCCAGCTGCTGCTCGCTTGTCACTAAGTCACTTTTGGGTAATTATGTTATTTAAGAAATAAAAAACAATTCATGTAGATGACGCGCTCACGTTTTATTAAAATCACTTTAGACTAAATATCTTGAGAATTCTGACCTCTTAGGTTACAGTGTAATCAATCCCCAGCGTCCTCCCTTGAACTACCCTAGAAAACGTAGTAAACACCTAGATAATCATTAGGACACTCATGGAGCAGAGTATAGTTCTTATCACAGTAAGAAACTTGGCTAGCTCCCCCGTATGCTATCACCATATCACCAACACGCGAGACCCAACATAAGATATGCACACTCTTGACGTGTTCCAAGTGTATACGACATCTACTATATTAATACTGTCCCAGCAGGCAAGAGAATGTGGCATAGACAATAGGGTGGCGCCTTAACAAGTACAAATATGGGTGTATGGGAGACATGGAACGGTGTGAACACGAAAAACCTACCTGCTCGAAAAATGTCAGCCGTCTCCATTGCCTTGGTATGACAAGGAATTTGAATTCACAACAGTTGTAGTGTGTGTGATGGGCTTGTGGCGGAGGTGTAATCTGCCAACAAAGTAGAGGGAGTGGACGCTGGGGCGAGTATGATGGCCCCCACCAGCCAACTCCCACTTGCACCCTCCTCTAGCACCCACACACCTCGCTTGTCTCTTTACTGATGCACAAATTGCCTCCTCACATCTACTTGTTCTAGAATCACAACGTAATACCTGAATTTTAACCCATGAATTGCCTGTTTCACTTTAAAACGCCACGCCAAACCGCCGGACTTTGTCACATAACCGGAGTGCCCATCTCAGTCGATTTTTGAGCACCAGACGTGTCCCTGGGGCTTGTGCCCACGCCAGGCCGTGCACCAACACTAGTTGCAACACTATACCCACTTGCAACACCCTCCGTCCACTTTAAACCACAACTTTTAACGAAAAACCGCAGAGCAAGTGCACACCGCCTCTCTGTCTTAGGCCTACGTGGTTACGCTGAGAGTGGCTGGGGAGGAGAGCTGGAGGGGTGTTCTCCCCCGCGGTGGCAGAGTGGCCTCGCCCCAACACACAAACTTGTGGCGGACACCAAACTGGCACACCAACCCCGCTAACACGAACATCACCACCACAACCACATACTATATCTCACCCTCAACCACAACACTGCACAACTACTTACAACCATAACACTATACGACAGCTCACAACCAAATACACAACATAACACCAACTTGTGGCGGACACCAAACTGGAACACCGACCTCGTTATCACGAACCTCACCTTCACAACCACAACACTACAACACAACTCACGATATAACACAAAACCTAACACAAAACCGTACACGAAAACGTTGTTAACGTTCCCACTCCCGAAAATAAAGGGACTGTAGCAGCCTGAGAATCTTGGAAGACAAACAGACGAGTTTCTCGCCACCACCCTTTATTTCATGGCTACGTCACTCTCTGGGTATACCAGGAACAACAAATGATTATTAATTCCTTCTCGTGTGTATTCTCGACAGTCTCGCAAATTTAACTTAAAATTATTCGTGCGGGGAAAGAAATTATAGATGGTGATCCGAAGACTAGTCACTCGAGACGATATCTCAGCCCACAGACTCCCCCAATGTTCAACTTCAATATTTGCTGGTAGAAAATTAGCAAGAAAATCGTATATTACACTTACTTTTTGTGGAACTGACGTAATAAGCCATATATACAATCTTTAGTTATCCCACCTCTAAACGCCCATTTCTCTTCACAAAAGTCCTCGAGAGCAGAGATTGTTTGTCAGATGATTCTTGAATGATGTTAGAATACGGACGTCACGTACTTACCATTTCACGTACACAGATGATTGAGATTTTACGAGATTTTGTCAGGATGACACACGGGCACATCCGCCATAGAAAATACTCAACTACGAATTTGAGATGACAGTGACGTCACAGTGTTTGCCTGGCCTCAGCCAATCAGGTGAGAGCTCAAACTTTTGCACCGATCACAAACTCTTTACCATTAATTATATTGCATGTTCATACATGTTACATCTAACTAATTATATGTTTTATTATTTTACTGCGTTAACACATGCTAACTTACACTTTAGTTTTTATAAATTTAATATTATACATAAAATAATATTGCTAGAAAAGTGCTGGAAAGCCATCGTCTTCCCTGGTAAACATCTATCAGCTGATTGTTGTTTCTCGGCTCAACGTAAGTATTTTTCTTCACTTCTTATGAAACTAGCTCTTCCATTTAGATAAAACAACATACCAGTTAATTCTACATAAAATATAGAATGTCGTGTGTGCCTAATTGGAGTGTTAATGGGTTAACTTGCGAGTAAATGATGGTTGTTAGTGTTGTGGCCAGAGTGTTTTAGTGGAGCATGGCGGCCAGCAGGCGCTCAAGTGTCAACCACCCGCCACACCTGCTCTGCCTCCGCTACCACTCTACTTAATATACTCACACATTTTGACTTATTGGTCAAACTTGGGCGAACTCTTCAAGTTATTTGTCACTTTTGCATAGCCATAATTATTATATTCAATAATGTATTTTTTCAATTTATACGAATTAGTAATTCATTACGTGCTTTAATACCTCTTTAGTGCTCCACTGTTCTTGTATTCTCATTAGTGTTCCACTGTTCTCTTTAGTGCTCCACTGTTTTCATGTTTATACAAGAAACTTAAGAACTGAACTAAATTTTCATAATAAAACGCAAGATTTGCTGCAATAAAAGTCTGACAAACTAGTTGGAAGCATTTACCATAATAACACAAGCCTCACAAACTATACTTAGGTTAATTGTTAACAACACAGTTACAGAAACACTGAAAATGTATTAGCAAGAGAAAGAATCTGCAATTCTGACCAATTTACTCAGTCAAACCAACTACAATAAATTTATGAAGATAAAAGGTAATATGTCATACACGAGGACACTTACACCTGGTCAGCACACTGTGCTGACCAGGTGTTAGTGCTCTCTGTGATTCCTCTCTTTTATAACATGTTCTTATGTTCTCTGAATTAAACTCGGTAATAAATTCGCTCAGAAACTAAAACTATTTAGGAAGGGGGGGGTATAAAATGTTGAATAGAACTTGCACCAGGTGCTGGAGAGCACTTGATCCAGGTGCTGGAGAGCACTTGATCCAGGTGCTGGAGAGCACTTGATCCAGGTGCTGGAGAGCACTTGATCCAGGTGCAGGAGAGCACTTTATCCAGGTGCTGGAGAGCACTTGATCCAGGTGCTGGAGACCACTTGATCCAGGTGCTGGAGAGGACTTGATCCAGGTGCTGGAGAGGACTTGATCCAGGTGCTGGAGACCACTTGATCCAGGTGCAGGAGACCACTTGATCCAGGTGCTGGAGACCACTTGATCCAGGTGCTGGAGACCATTGATCCAGGTGCTGGAGACCACTTGATCCAGGTGCTGGAGACCACTTGATCCAGGTGCTGGAGACCACTTGATCCAGGTGCTGGAGACCACTTGATCCAGGTGCTGGAGACCACTTGATCCAGGTGCTGGAGACCACTTGATCCAGGTGCTGGAGACCACTTGATCCAGGTGCTGGAGACCACTTGATCCAGGTGCTGGAGACCACTTGATCCAGGTGCTGGAGACCACTTGATCCAGGTGCTGGAGACCACTTGATCCAGGTGCTGAAGAGCACTTTATCCAGGTGCTGGAGAGCACTTGATCCAGGTGCTGGAGAGCACTTGATCCAGGTGCTGGAGAGCACTTGATCCAGGTGCTGGAGAGCACTTGATCCAGGTGCTGGAGAGCACTTGATCCAGGTGCTGGAGAGCACTTGATCCAGGTTCTGGAGAGCACTTGATCCAGGTTCTGGAGAGCACTTGATCCAGGTGCTGGAGAGCACTTGATCCAGGTGCTGGAGAGCACTTGATCCAGGCGCTGGAGAGCACTTGATCCAGGCGCTGGAGAGCACTTGATCCAGGCGCTGGAGAGCACTTGATCCAGGCGCTGGAGAGCACTTGATCCATGCACTGGAGAGCACTTGACCCAGGTGCTGGAGAGCTCTTGATCCAGGCACTGGAGGGCACTTGACCCAGGCACTGGAGAGTACTTGATCCAGGCACTGGAGAGCACTTGATCCAGGCGCTGGAGAGCACTTGATCCAGGCACTGGAGAGCACTTGATCCAGGTGCTGGAGAGCACTTGATCCAGGCACTGGAGAGCACTTGACCAAGGCACTGGAGAGTACTTGATCCAGGTCCTGGAGACAACTTGATCCAGGTCCTGGAGACCACTTGATCCAGGTGCTGTAGAGCACTTGATCCAGGTGCTGTAGAGCACTTGATCCAGGTGCTGGAGAGCACTTGATCCAGGTGCTGGAGAGCACTTGATCCAGGTCTTAGAGAGCACTTGATCTAGCTGTTGTAGAACACGTGATCCAGGTGCTGGAGAGCACTTGATCCAGGTGCTGGAGAGCACTTGATCCAGGTGCTAGAGACCACTTGATCCAGATCCTTGAGACCACTTGATCCAGGTGCTGTAGAGCACTTGATCCAGGTGCTGGAGAGCACTTGATCCAGGTGCTGGAGAGCACTTGATTCAGGTACTGGAGAGCACTTGATCCAGGTGCTGGAGAGCACTTGATCCAGTTGCTGGAGAGCACTTGATCCAGGTGTTGGAGAGCACTTGATCCAGGTGTTGGAGAGCACTTGATCCAGGTGCTGGAGAGCACATGATCCAGGCGCTGGAGAACACTTGATCCAGGCGCTGAAGAGCACTTGATCCAGGCGCTGGAGAGCACTTGATCCAGGCGCTGGAGAGCACTTGATCCAGGTCCTGGAGACCACTTGATCCAGGTGCTGTAGAGCACTTGATCCAGGTGCTGGAGAGCACTTGATCTAGGTGCTGGAGAGCACTTGATCCAGTTGCTGGAGACCACTTGATCCAGGTGCCAGAGAGCACTTGATCCAGGTGCTGGAGAGCACTTGATCCAGGTCCTGGAGAGCACTTGATCCAGTTGCTGTAGAGCACTTGATCCAGGTGCTGGAGAGCACTTGATCCAGGTGCTTGAGAGCACTTGATCCAGGTGCTTGAGAGCACTTGATCCAGGTGCTTGAGAGCACTTGATCCAGGTGCTGGAGAGCACTTGATCCAGGTGCTGGAGAGCACTTGATCCAGGTGCTGGAGAGTACTTGATCCAGGTGCTGGAGAGCAATTGATCCAGGTGCTGGAGAGCAATTGATCCAGGTGCTGGAGAGCACTCGACCCAGGTGCTGGAGAGCACTTGATCCAGGTGCTGGAGAGCACTTGATCCAGGCCCTGGAGAGCACTTGATGCAGGCGCTGGAGAACACTTAAACCAGGCGCTGGAGAGCACTTGATCCAGGCGCTGGAGAGCACTTGATCCAGGCGCTGGAGAGCACTTGACCCAGGTGCTGGAGAGCACTTGATCCAGGTCCTGGAGACCACTTGATCCAGGTCCTGGAGACCACTTGATCCAGGTGCTGTAGAGCACTTGATCCAGGTCCTGGAGACCACTTGATCTAGGTGCTGTAGAGCACTTGATCCAGGTGCTGGAGAGCACTTGATCCAGGTGTTGGAGAGCACTTGATCCAGGTGTTGGAGAGCACTTGATCCAGGTGTTGGAGAGCACTTGATCCAGGTGTTGGAGAGCACTTGATCCAGGTGCTGGAGAGCACTTAATCCAGGTGCTGGAGAGCACTTGATCCAGATGCTGGAGAGCACTTGATTCAGGTGCTGGAGAGCACTTGATCCAGGTGTTGGAGAGCACTTGATCCAGGTGCTGGAGAGCACTTGATCCAGGCGCTGGAGAGCGCTTGATCCAGGCGCTGGAGAGCACTTGATCCAGGCGCTGGAGAGCACTTGATCCAGGCGCTGGAGAGCACTTGATCCAGGCGCTGGAGAGCACTTGATCCAGGCACTGGAGAACACTTGATCCAGGCACTGGAGAGCACTTGATCCAGGCACTGGAGAGCACTTGATCCAGGTGCTGGAGAGCACTTGATCCAGGTGCTGGAGAGCACTTGATCCAGGTGCTGGAGACCACTTGATCCAGGTCCTGGAAACCACTTGATCCAGGTGCTGTAGAGCACTTGAACCAGGTCCTGGAGACCACTTGATCCATGTGCTGTAGAGCACTTGATCCAGGTCCTGGAGACCACTTGATCCAGGTGCTGTAGAGCACTTGATCCAGGTGCTGGAGAGCACTTGATCCAGGTGCTGGAGAGCACTTGATCCAGGTGCTGGAGAGCACTTGATGTAGGTGCTGGAGAGCACTTGATCCAGTTGCTGGAGAGCACTTGATCCAGGTGCTGGAGAGCACTTGATCCAGGTGCTGGAGAGCACTTGATCTAGGTGCTGGAGAGCACTTGATCCAGGTCCTGGAGAGCACTTGATCCAGGTGCTGTAGAGCACTTGATCCAGGTGCTGGAGAGCACTTGATCCAGGTGTTGGAGAGTACTTGATCCAGTTGCTGGAGAGCACTTGATCCAGGTGCTGTATAGCACTTGATCCAGGTGCTGGAGAGCACTTGATCCAGGTGCTGGAGAGTACTTGATCCAGGTGCTGGAGAGTACTTGATCCAGGTGCTGGAGAGTACTTGATCCAGGTGCTGGAGAGCAATTGATCCAGGTGCTGGTCTCAGTAGTAGTAACCAGTTACCGGTAACCAGTGTACCAGTAGATGACTCACTACCAACCGTCTCTGCATTAATCACTGACTGTATTCATATTGCTGCTGACCATAGCAGGATTTCAAACACCCCCTCACATGGGCACTGTGAGTTAGTCAGTCTTACGATAGAGAGCAGAGAGGCAGGTCGGCTGTGGCGCTTCCCATACTTCCGTCGTTATAAAGTATCAACTTATCAGTATTCAAGAATTTTGTTTTGTGTTCACGTTCTCTCCGAATTCTGAGAGTTAACAGTCTAGATTTGAGTGCACCGAATCTGCTTTTCTGTTAAACACTTCTTTCTTTGTATATATTCCTTCCTCAGAATCCGTAGATCACATGAATACAGATCGATCGATCAAATTTTTTTTTATCACTTCTATTGTAATCTCAACGTTGAGTTTCATTCGATGAGTTGTGCTATATTATACCTTGTATTGCATTACAGTTTCAGTTACGTAAGCTTCCATTCCAATGTTCTACTTATGTATGTTATAATGTTCAATTGTTGTGTACTTTGACATTGTATAGAATCAGC